TTTGTTTCTTAATGTTAATGTGTTTTGTGTGTGTTTTTGCTCTCTGTGTGTTTATCCTATAATTATTATTGCTACTCCATTGTGTGTGTGTGTGTTCTTGGAGACTCTCTGTGTGTGTGACTGGGCTTGCAATGTGATAATAATGATGATGAATTGCTTTTTATAGTGAAAAAGAGAGGAAATAATAATAATATATGAATTTATATTTATAATTGCGTGTATATACACATATAGACTTATACCCATAGTTGTTGTATTTCTGTGTTTACTGGATAAATTGGGCTAATGATTAATACATGATTCTTTGTTTGCTTGTGTTTTGCTGGGTCATTGTGTGCTTTACCCTGCACGGCTGTGGTAGTCTGCTTTCTGCAGAATAAAGAAAAAAATAGTAATAAATACAATTTGTATTCCTAATTGCTTGAACAGACCAGCATACGCAGTGATCTGTGTGTTATTTCTGTGCGGTTGGTGTTGGTCTTAATTTGTATTTTTGTTCACGTTTTCTTTGCTTGGGCGCTGTGTGCTTCTGCGCTTCACTGTTACTTTGTATTGCTATCTGCAGAGAAATTAAAATAGCATACATAAACATATATTCTTAATTGCATATACGTGAACTCCAGAAGCACTGTTATGTATTTCTGTGCTTTCTGCTTCTGATGGTTCGTTTTCTTAATTTCTTTTTTTCTTTTGAGGGTTAACTAGGATTATCTTTTTTTTATTGGTTACTATGGGCTTCGTTCCTTTAATTTGAAGACTAGTAGAGTTTATTGTTGTTGCAAGTATTATTGTAGCTGAGTGATGCTTCTTGTTGTTTTTTTTTTTTCACTAGTCTTTGATTCTGTCTCTTTTTATTTTCTGTTTATATTTGCTATATAATCTTTTTTATCCTTTTCTCAGTTCAACCACACAAGAGCACAACAACGAAATCTGTTGTTATGATGTTACCACGCCGTCTGTTGTATTTATTGGCTTTGCTTCTCAGTGTTGCCTCTGTATGTTCTGCGTCTGGAGAGATTCTACCTGCTGTAATTGTTCCTTCTGGTGAACCGGAATATCTTGTGGTTAATTTTGGTATTGCTAATTATAGTCGTCGTAAAAATAGAGAACCAGCAAAGGAAATCCCTAATGCTCATAAAGATTTACCACAACCACCTCAGGAAAGCGTACAAGCGTTGAAAGAGGATACTGGTCCTAGTGGTAACCAGAATGTTGCTTCTGGTGGTAAACCCGGTGATAAAGGCCAGAAAGAGCAAAAGAAGGCTGCGGAAGGGTTGGGAAAAGAGGCAACAGAGAAAGAAATAACTAAGGAACATCAAGATTCTGCGGTGGGTAAGATAGATGATCCTACTGGAAAACTTCAGGGAATTCAAACACAACAATTATCTGAAGCCGCCCCAAGTTCTTCTTTGTCTGTTGTTTCTTCTGCACCACGTGCTGGTGACCCAACAAAAAGTGAAGAAACCTTATCTAAGCAGAGTGAGAGTGGTGGTCCCGCACAAGATACTAGTAACCAAAACGATAAACTTCAAGGTGAAAACACACAGAGCAACGAAAGCGATATAAAGGATGGACCTCAAAATACATCAAACTCTACTTTTTCTACTGAACCCAGTACTAGTAATTCGGAGACTCATGAAAACAGTACTACGAAGGAACAAACACACTCTACACAGGACTCTCCATCAACCACTGATACAGGTGAGACCACTAAAGCCGAAAACA